ACGATGAGCGTTCAGTCGCGCGAGGACCTGCTGCAGCCGGACATCATGCTCTGGTGCATCCCTGCCAAACACAATGATGTCATCCATGTACACCATCACCCCTGGCAGACCCGTCAGGACGGCTTCCATGACCTTCTGGAATGCCGCTGGAATGGACGACAGTCCAAAACAGCACCGTTTGTAGCGCCACAGACCCTCGTGCGTCATGAAAGCGGTCAAGTCACGGGACTCTTGGTGAAGCATCAACTGATTGAATGCTGACTTCATGTCTAGTGAAGAAAATACTCTGGCTCCTCTGAGCTTATCTAACATCTCTTGCATGTCAGGCAAGGGGTGCTTACTTGAGATGATGCTCTTGTTCACCTCCTTCAAGTCTAAGCAGAGACGGATACCACCAGTCCGTCGCCGGGTGACCACCACAGGTGACACCCATGGAGAGGAGTCCACCCTCTCTATGACGTCCTGCTTCTCCAGCTTCTCCAGGTGCTCCTTCACTTCACCCCTGACCGACAGCGGCAGGGGTCGCAGCTTCTGACGGACCGGAGTGGCCCCCTCCTTCACCTTGACTCTGTGGACAAAGCCGTGTATGGCGGGCAGAACCTCTGCATCCTCCCCCTCTACCGCACAGACGACATTGCCATCTTTGACTGTAACACTAAGCAGCTGCTGTAGGTCACGGCCAAGCAGGGGTACACTGTGGGACTCCACCACGAACAAGGTACCCTCAGTCGAACATCCCCTGTCAGAGGACACTGTGGCCGTCATCATACCACGAACAGGCAGAAGGTGTCCTCCATATCCCTGAAGCCTGATGGAAGACATCTGTAGAGGGACGTGCGCAAACTGCTCCTGATACAAGCTGCTGGGTATCAGACTCACTCCCGATCCTGTATCCACCAACATCTGGACCTGAATTCCATCAATGCCAACAGACATCATGGGACGAGGCACTTGAGAGGGCACATGGTGCACAGTCGACACTTCTACCACACAGGCATGCGAAGACTCCTGACGCTTGCACATGACTGCATAATGCCCTTTCTCATGACACTTGTTACACTTCCTGACCCTGGCTGGACACTCCTTACTCTTGGCTTTATGTCCTTTACGGCCACATGCAAAACAGGTCATCTCACCTTGCTGTCGTTTCTTGCCTTCTGAGTCTCGCCGGGTGGAGAAGCCGCCTCTCCTCTCAGTCGCTGCCACCTCCTTGAGGACCTCTGCCCCCAGCTCCGGAGACCTGCCAGCTAGAGTTTGTTGACGGTCAGCAGCCTGATCAGCAGCGAGAGCGATGACTTCAAGACGCTGCAGGGTTAGGTTTTCTTCCTGACACAGTCTTTCCTTAAGCCTTTGAGAGGAACATCCTTCCAAAAACTGATCTCTTATCATTTCATCTTCTAAGTTACCAAATGCACACTTCTGACTACCTTCCCTCAGATTGGCTAGGTAGGTACGAACAGAAGAAGCCTGCTGTCTGCACTTCCTGAATTTTATCCTCTCTGAGATAATATCAGTCTTACTGACAAACAGACGACATAAGACAGCTACTGTATCCTCAACCAAAGTGGTGTCAGAGGGCTCTGTTTTCACAATACCTCCTGGGCACTCAGCTCTAAACAGTCTCCGCCCTTCCTGCCCAAGGCAGTGCAGGAGCAAGGCCTGCTGCCTCTCCTGACTCCATGCTGACCAACCTATGGCCATGGCATAAACTTCGAAGTCCGGAAACCAGTTATTCCACGGCACCACCGGCGGGCCTGGAAGAGGTAAGAATGCCGCGGGCGGACGAATTCCCTCCATACCTCACGTCTGGTCCGACTACCTCGTCGCCAATTGTAATGTCGTCTTCCGAATCTCCCGAATCAGCAGTCCGCTCGTCAAGTCCTCACCAAGGTCATCACAGTGCCAGCCCGATCAAACAAGTGTGTATTTTACAAAACTGAAGCTCCGACAACATCTCGGCCAAGGTCAACTGAATTCATGGTCGTTAAATCACTGCCGTTTAGTTCACTGCCAAGTTACTACAGAATATCAAACATGAACTCTGATTTCCAGTGGGCATAGTGACTTTGGTATGTCAATGTCTGAAAAGACAGGTGAGAATGCCACTGGTCAGCCTTGCTTCAATTGGATTTGTGTCCATTTATAAATGGATTTCAGTCTTCCCTACTTACCTACATATGTTATTGGTATTTGATTTCTACAGCTCAAAATATTGCTTAGGTTTTGTACAGCAAACTGAATGGAAGTGATCCGTACAAACATTTGGTGAAATGTTTTCTGGATTGCTAGCACTTAGAACATGTTAATTCTGTTGTAGGTGACAAGATAAGAAATTGAAGCAGGACTGACCAGTATGCTATAGAATAAGTAGCCTAATCTGCAGGAATATTAAAATTCAAAAGTGGAATTGGGACTTATGAACTGGAAACTGCATCGACTATGACTATGTTTGCCAAAGCATAAAAGATATTAATTCAATATTTACCATAAAGCACAGGGAAATGATAGGACCCGGTTGGACCCGGCCAAATATTTTGGGGGACCCGGTCTGGACCCATCCGGGTCCAGACCGGTTCCATAGACCGGGTCCCCGGGTCCACATTTTGCCACCTCTAAATAGATCCACCTTGCGTACAAATACATCTGATGGAAGATGCTTTTAAATTGGAGGCTTGATGATTCTGTTCATTGTATAGACCATGATATACGAGATGCTTCTTCACTGCTCGGATTAAGGATGAAGGGATCCGATCAGCTGGATTTGCGGCACAGTTGGGTAGGTGAAGGACAGGGCATTTCGAAGTTCCGATGGCCACTGCCAAACATATGGGTGGTAATTACATTGATAAATTGAATGTGATCATTCGTCCAGTCACCCATTCCTATATCACTGGCCTCCCCATTAGCAAATTGCCCACTTAATTCGTATTAGCGTTGCTAGTTTTAAGTTGCCCTCGAGATTCATTTGTTCGACTGCCGTAACCGAATTCTACCAAATTCCTATCGGCCTTATTCTAAGATTCATGCTTCATCATTCTCACACCCTTGCTCGCATTACATTTGCATTTCATGTATTCACCCAAATTTAATTGGTAGCCCCCCACATTCCCTCCGATGATGTTAGGTGCCTGACTAATAGCGATCTCCCCGGCGAGATAAATGTCTCTTTCCGAAATCCATATGCATGCTCCGCTAACCGGCGACAAAGATACTTATCGCAGGACCGTCCAGAATAATTGCACAAATATCCACCCTGCCATTTTATGGGATTCACTACACGTCCGATAGACTTATGGTACACACATACACGATTTATATCCGACTTATCTCTCTACCGGGAGAGATTACCTATGCCCTCTCCGGTCTGCGTGTAACATTCCCGTTCACGACCCAGGGACCCTAGTTCATATCCTGGAACTATCCTTAACCCTCGCCGGACCTATTGGTTTTCTACATACGCGCCGGCCGAGGGGGGGGGGGCGGGTACGACCCCCCCTCGCCGTTTCGCCCCTGGTGGAGCTAGCGCGTCGCGGAAAAAACGAGCGTGTGCGCCGTTACGAGACGCAGAGATTGGTACCCGATTTTAAGGTCCTAGGTCAACCGGTGACCTCTGAGGTCAGGTCAAGTGCCCCAGGGTACGGTTCAGTTTTTGGTGAATAACTTCGCAAAAAATGGCCGCAGAGCCGCGATTTTGGCAGCATCGTGTTCGCCTCGCTCAGGCGCGTCGAATGATATACTTTTTGGCCGGGTCAGGTCAACTTGGGGTGTTGACCTCAGGTCAAGGTCAGGTCAGCACCCCCAGGTCACGAAGTTGGTCGAAAGAGGTCATGTCGCATATCATTCGATTCGGCAGGTCTTCCTGAGTCCATTGGTGGCTTTCTCGACTCGCTAGCTCAATTTGATAAGAGTTATTGACGAAAAACTAATATGACCTTGATGACGTCATACATGACGTCACGCAAGGTCAACATTGCAAAAGTGACGCATCTAACCTTGCAAGGAGTGCATCAAATCACGTTTCTGTGTGCTTGAGATAGTTGGAGATCGTTCCCGGCGCCAGAATAGCAGTTTTCATTTTTCCCCATTGACTTATAATGGTGAGGTCACGAAAATGACCTGACCTCATATGACCTTTAGGAAAAATCCGAGATATACAAGTTGTGAGACTCATAATGGATACTAGATCCTGCAAGTTTCATTTCCCTGTGACATCTCCTCTGGCAGTGAGGGCGTTGCAAAGTTGCGACATCTGAAGACCGTGCAGAGGTTCACTTATGACGTCATAGGTCAGTGACCTGACCTGACCCAAAAATGCGGTTGGTGTCAAAAGATGCGGCTTGGATCAAAGGTCAGGTATGCCAAGTTTCAGCTCTCTATCGTCAGCGTGTTCGGAGCTATCGCGAAAAAACCCTATGGGGGGGGCGGCACCCGCCCCCCCCCCCCCCTCGGCCGGCGAGGGTTAAACCATGGGATTTACTTTTCAAGGCCTTACGTGTCCTGGAGTACATTCTTCCCTCCCCAGCGGCTGTCCAGTACCGACTGAGGTACCCTTACAAAATAAGTATGAGGACTTATTTGGGACACTACGGCTCGCCTTATCCGCCCTTTGGGTGACTCACGTCTCACCCCTGACCTTCGGCTTCTTGCCTTTGGCATAACTTACTCTCCACTGCACTGTGCCAATCTCCCCCTTTCCCCCCTGCCGTAGAAACCTCTCACTGCCTTCTCACCCAGTGTTACCTAAGCGGGAAAATTAAAGGGACTATCCCACCTTTACATTAGGTTTGAGTTGAGATAGCCAAGTTTGCGGCGAGGTCCAGAAACCACTATCTTGGTTGCAACCCCCGCGGCCTCGTGGTGTTGAAGAAATTAGTTCCCTTCATTTCCAAAATCCCTTCAATTCAAAAAGTCGCCCCAAAAGGCTTTATACTGGTGTATAATGACATTGTTTTTGTCAACGTCAGAAGTTGACAGTTTTATTGGCGCCGTTTTTCCTGCAGCCGCTGGTCAGCTGCCTGCTGCGCACCTGTCTGTTGGAGGCAGCCGGTGGCGACTCGACGGCGGCTGCCATGGCAACGGCCGTGGCCGCCTCTGCGCGGATCGAGTCGACCAGCGAACAACAGCTACTCATCAGGTCAGTGCACCGCGCTCTGCGTCGGCCGTAACACTTTTTTTAACAGCCGCCAACAATTTTCACATTTTTAATGATCAGTTTATTCTGTTATGGTTTTTCAAATGTGCCGAGTACTGTTAAGGCCTGGCTACACTATGCGTTTTCTTCGTGCGTTTTTTGCGTGTTTGCGTGTTTTGCGTGATATTGTTCTAGAAAAAAGAACGATATTACGTTTTTGTGATGTTTTTCACCTTAAATTTTAGTTACATAAGAGTTATATTAGCTTTTGTATATAACCAAAGTAAAAATTATATTGTTTATAATTTTTTTCCTAGAACGATATTACGCAAAACACGCAAACCTGCAAAAACGCACGCAGAAAACGCATAGTGTAGCCAGGCCTTTACAACCAGCGTTGGCCTACGTTACGTTATTTTGAAGTTTTCGGTAACCCGTAGCTGTCAGTACCGTTTCGTAGCGTAATTGGGATGTTTCGGTAGCGTAGTACGGAAAATAATAGAATAACGTAGGAACTACGAAATGGATTCCGTAGCAATTACAGGTCAGCTGTTGTTTCCGTGATCTCGCGTTGTGTTTAAACAGTTTTAGTCAGTGTGTTGTGTGCTATTTACTCTACGCAAATAAATCAATGTTAACAATGTTCAAAGCGTGAAAGCTATTCTAATCTTGACCTTATCTCAAAAGCTCAATTAATTATCCATTCCAAGATATTATCATAAGGATCAAGTCTCATATCTTAATCATATTTTCTCAATACACTTTCAAAAACACACTACATAATTCAAGATCCAATTCCCACTGTATTCTCTCAAAATTCTCGTGACCTCTATTTTTACACAAATGAAAATACTCGTGCAAGCGGTAGCACTGTAACACTCTGTAACACTCCCCTCCACCATGACCTCTCAGGTCATCACCATGACCTCTCGGGTCACCACCAATACCATGACTTCTCAGGTCATCACAATGACCTCTCAGGTCATCACTATTCGTCTGGCTCGCTGACTTCCAACTTGACTAGCTTCACGACAGGTTTCTTCACCAACTTGCCTTTAGTCAGGACTTCTACCACTCGAACTCGACCATCTTCACCTTTGAATGCTTTTGTAACTCTTCCCAGGGGCCACTCTCCTCTCGGTGCGGCGGGGCTCTGCACGATCACGATGTCATCCTCCTGAAGGTCAGGTCGCACCTCAGTCCACTTGGTTCTTGGTTGGAGCAGCGGGAGGTATTCTTTCACCCATCCCTTCCAGAACGCCAGCGACACTTGCTGAAGCCGACGCCGTCTCTTTTGATGCGTTGACTCGGTGCCGTCAGCGGAGGGGTCGAGTTCTGTCCTTCGGGTCCGATGACAGCGGCGTCAACGGCCTCGAGTTGATCATTGCTTCTGCTCGACAAAATGCCGTTAGCAGCTCTTCATCGGAGAGACTTGCGCTTGCAAGTGTTCGATGTAGAGTCCGTTTAACCAGCTTCACCAGCGCCTCGAATGCTCCACCGAAATGTGGCGCTCCCGGAGGATTGAAGTGCCACTTCATTCCTCTCTTGCCCGCGTGTTTCTTCACTTTGTGCTCATCTAGCGACCGGTACAGCTGCTGAATTTCTCTGTCGGCTCTCACAAAGTTCGTTCCGTTGTCAGACCACATATCGTCTGGGACACCCCGTCTGGCCACAAAGCGATCCAGTGCACGCAGAAACGAATCCGTATCCAGCCCATATGCCAGTTCGAGGTGAATGCATCTTGTCTGGAGGCATGTGAACAGACACAAGTACCTCTTTGTTCTCGTCTTGCCTCTTCCCTGTTTTGTTTCGAAGGGCCCAGCATAATCCACAGCGACCTTGGCGAATGCTCTAAATGACGGCTTGACCTGAGCTTCGAGCTTTGCAGCCATGATTTGGGTTTTAGGCTGTCTTCTTCTCCGAATGCACTCGAGACATCCAGCATTGTGCTTCTTGACTGCTTCCCTTCCACTCACAACCCAGTAACGCTGTCTGTCTCAGCTCAGCTAGCGTGTGCTCTAACCCTAACTGATGGTCGCCGTCTTCGTGATAATGCCGAATAATCAGCTTGGTCACAGGGTCGTTCTTTGGCAGCAGCAGTGGATGCCGGGCTTTGTATGGCAGCTCTGACCTCTGAAGCCGACCTCCCACTCGAATGAGCCCTCTCGAGTCGAGCTGCGGGCAGAGACGTCGAATGCTGCTGTCAGAGGCCGGTCGTCGGCGCTGGTCATCTGAGTCGTTCTGGGTGCTCATTTCACTGAACTCTCTGCTGAACGCATTCTTTTGCGCTTTGCGCACCCAAAACTCTTCTGCTCGTTCTATTTCTTCCACTTCAAGCTCAGGCACCATCCGCCTCGCAGGCGAGCTTTGTTCGGAATGGGTTGAGTCCACCTGCCTGTCTTTTGCGTTTCTCAGGTTGCCCATGTAGCGGAATATCCACGCCGTCACCCGCTTCAGTCTTGTCCAGCTCGAGAATGACGATGGGTTCAGGCGACTATTCTCTTCAAACTTCACTGGGGAAGCCAGGGTGGCTGTGCTTCTGTGCTCTCTTCGAAACTCTGTCTGATCGCAACCCTCGGCTCCGAACTCTTTCTTCGCGGGCCAGTCCTCTTCATGTTTCGTCAGGAACTCTGGCCCGTTCCACCATTTCTTAGTGTGGAGAAGCTCGGCCGCTGGCAGCCCCCTGGTTGGCAGGTCGGCGCTGTTCAGACTACCGGGGCAGTGTTGCCATTGTTCTGGGTCTGTGGTTTCTCTGATCTCGGCTACACGGTTGGCCACGAATGTCTGGAATCTGCGCACTGCATTTCTCAACCAGCACAAGACATCCATGGCGTCACACCAAAAGTGAACTTCCCTTAAAGGGACTCCCGTTGCCTTGCACGCTTTCTTCGCCAGTCTCAGGCCCAGTACGGCAGCAACGAGCTCCAGTCGAGGGACTGTTTGCTTCTTCTTTGTTGGCGCCACTATGGCCCTTGCCAACATCAGCACTGACGAACGGCTTCCGGGAGACGACTCGGTCACCACAGCCGCATATGCCAGCTCGGAGGCGTCTGAGAAAACATGGAGAGACTGGTCTTGGATTGCAGTGTCAGATCCAAACGGATGTAAGCAGCGAGGGACTCAGATTGCTTCCAGATCCATTAGTCCGTCAAACCACTCTCTCCACTGTCTTTCCACTTCGACAGGCATCGGATCGTCCCAGTCAATGCCTTCTTCCCACGTCTGCTGAAACAGGATCTTCGAGATGATGAGGTATGGCGCGAAGAAGCAAAGGGGGTCAAAAACGGTCGCCATCCTTCTCAGGCAGTTACGTTTTGTGAAGCGGAAGTCTTCTGGAGCTTCTGTGATCTTCAATGTGAACTGATCCTGCTCCGCCGTCCATCGCACTCCCAGAGTCTTCACAAAGGGACTGTCATCCTGCCTGAGAGCTACGTTAGTACAAGATGCTCTTTCGTCTTCGGGTATGCTCTTCAGTATTTCTTTACTGTTACTCATCCACTTGTGGATCTTCATGCCAGCGATGCCCATGAGCTGCACCAGCTGTTCCTTCGCTTCCAGAGCTTCATATTCAGTTCTATAAGACGTCAAGGCGTCGTCCATGTAAAAGTTGTTCAGCACTGCATCTGCTCCCACCTGATACTCAGCGTAGTGCTCTTTGGCGTTCTCTTGTATCACTAGCTGTGTGCAAAATGGTGCCGCTGCATTACTAAACAGCCAGCGCTGTGCCTCGTAGACTTGTGGCTCACTCTTTGTGTCCATGCTTCGCCACAGAAGCCTGTGATACTTCCTGTCCTCTTCCCTGAGACGAACTTGTAAAAACATTTCGCTCACATCACCAACTAGGGCCACAGGGTGCTGGCGAAAACGAAGGTGTACTTCAGTCATGTCGTTATACAGCGACGGTCCAGGGAAGATCTGTGAGTTGAGATTTGTGCCCTTGTACTTAGCAGCTGCGTCGTACACAATTCTGACTCGAGTAGATGTCCTGTCGTTCCTGATCACAGGAAAGTGCGGTAAAAACCAGCCATCTTCCCTCGCAAGCTCTGCGTCAGCTCCTTCGAGCTTCACGAGATAGCCCTTCTCTACGTAGGCAGAGAAAATCTCATCATACTTGACAGCAAGATCTTCGTCTGGATTTCTCAGCAGAGATCTCTCCGTTTTGACCAGACGGTTTTCAGCGCTGCAATAGTTTGATGGCAGGTCTGGTTTTTCCTCGCGCCATGGAACAGCAACTTCATACCTCTCGCCGTCGTGTCGGATAGACGCCTTGGCACGACTGATGGTGATTCTTTCCAGATGAGACGGAGCCATTTCATCCTCGGTTTTGACACCCATTAGATCCAACTCGGTCATGTCTCTCATGGCTGATATTTCTTCTTGCATTGACAACTTCTGTACAGTCGTTCGCATTGTTCTCACATATCTGGTGACACCCGCACGTATCTTCATCTTCTCCTGGTTGGAAACCAGATCTGCTTCCACGGGACCGAAGGCCGTCCAGCCGAATGGCGTCTTGACAGCCACTGGCTCGTCGCTCTCGCCCTTCACTTGTCTCTCTGGCGTGAAGAGACACATAGTCTCCGGGGTCACACCGATCAAAATGTCGATGGTTTTCTTTCCCAACGTTGGAAACGGAAGATCTGCCATACGCGCCCAGCGTTCCTGTACTTTGCACCAATCGATGGCGTCTGACGATCCAATTAGATCTTCGGTGACGAACACATTGAGATCCATCTTGATCTGGTTGTTTTCGACACTCGATATTCTCACTGGGGCTTTCTTCATCTGAACTTCTTCAGTTCCTTTCACTGTCGTCAGTTCGAACGTCCAAGGCGTGCCATTTACATCCAGTTCTTCCGCTGCCTTTTCACTGAGGTAGGAAGAATCAGAGCACGGATCCAGTAGAGCGTTGAGCCTTAGTCTCTTCACTCCAGTCTCCACGAAGACTGGGACAGTCTGGAACAGTGGCGCAGCCAGGATTTCGTTTCGGGGGGGTCATCGCCTCCAAAGCGGGCCCCCTAGTGTGCGGGCCCCCACCCATTTTTCAGAATCTTTCCATATTTCATACGCATTCTGCTGAGCGGGCCCCCTTTACCTGCATGATAACCCTGAGCGAGTTTAAATCGGAAAATTTTGATAGAACAATAGTTCGGTAATCACCCGGTGTTCAATTTCCACATGAATTGACCATGACAGAAATATGTTACTATGACGTATGAATTCGTATCTTTCGAGGCCGAAATGTGCCCCTACTGCAATATGCATAGCATATATGCAAACTGAACTGTTGTCTGCTTCTGTCGGACAAGATTTAAGCAGTCCCACGTGCCTGTCCTAACTCAGTCATCTATTGGCTGCTGTAGTAGATTGTGCTTTATTCTTCTTCATTACGTGATTTCGCTCACAAGCAGTTTTAACCCTCGCCGGCACAGGGGGAGGGGATGATGCAACCTCCCCCCCCCTAAGGTTTTTCGCGAATAACTCGGGTAAAAATCGGCCGATCGCGACCAAACTTTCAGTACCCTCGCGTTGATCACACCTACCCTAGAAATTTCATGACCCTGACCCAAATGGCCTTTGACCTGTGACCTACTTTCCGAGACCATGTTTGGCCAGAATCGCGATTCGGCGTATGCCGGCTCGCATTAGCCGCGCGTTTGCAGTCTTTTCGTGGTTTCAAGCATTCAAACATGTGAGTTGATGCTGCTCCCATGCATTAGGGTGGATGTCAAGGTCACCTGAAGGTCAGGTCAGGTCATTGACCTATGATGACCTCGGTACTTTTTCGAATTATACATGATTCCAGGCTAGTTTTTGGAGCTGAATCCGAATTTAGCAACCATTTGAACATTTACGAAGTAGTTTTGGTGCCTTCGTAACATGTTACGAAGCTGCCAGAGGCGGCTGGCACGTAGGTACTACGAATACCCGGCAGGACCCCTACTGGTTGACCTGACCTGACCTGACCCGACCTGGCTTAAATGCATAAAGACATCATCTGTGATCAAAACTAACATGATAACTATTCATGATCAGTACCCCGAAAAACCCTATAGCAGCCACAATTAACGACGTTCTAACAGGTCCCGATTTTCCCGATTTTTCGGTCATTGACCTGACCTGGAAGGTCAACCAATGACCAAGAACCTTAAAATTGGGTATCGTCGGCTTTCTCTCGTCACGGGGAACACGCTCGTATTTCCCGCGAAGCTCTAGCTCGAGCATGGGCCAAACACGAAGGATCGTACCACCTTGTGCCGTCACGAAGGGGTCGTACCTCTTGTGCCGTCGAAGGACGCAAAATGTCCGGAATGGCCTGTGCCGGCGAGGGTTAACGCGCTCATATGGGACATGTATTGCCATGGGCCGGGTTTGTTGTGGCGTGGTGATGTGGTGACGTAGATTCTGTCTGCTATCGAGGTCCCGGCATGGTGTTACTTAGCGTGGGGTACGGGCCCGACCGTTGCGCCAAGTGCGCTGAAATTTGCGCAACTTATAGATTAAGGATGGGCAACGTGCCTTTGAGGGTCTCAGCTCGATCGGATTGATAGCGAGCACATGACGCGTGCTCAAAAAGTGCAAATTCGCGTTATGGACTTTAAATGTATGTATAAATCGGCTTGCAAAATCGGGCGAAAATGACTAAATTTGCCAGACACTGGTCCGGTCCCCGTGCAGTATCTCGGTAACCGTGGGCCCAATCGCCACGGGGTATCGTGTAGAGAATCGAAAGGGCTATCGAATGGTGTGCGGTGCAGGGATGGCACGCGCCACGTGCACCCGTGAGGGCACTTATGCTGGGAAATTTACGTTTCGGACAGATTTGGGACTTAATGCTATTTTCGGGTGACTGTTTGGCGGAGCGGGTTCAAACAACGCCTGTTGGCAAAAGAAATGTACCGCCTCTCATGGAAAAATTGTGAAAAGCTAATTGATCAAAAACAAGGTGGATCAAATCGCTGGAGAGAATGGTATTTGTTAATGACTTACTTAATTACACGGGTTTTACTGCATAACCTGGTACGTTTGACAGTTGAAAATGGCATAGTTGGAAAGAGCATTCAATTTTGTCCAAAATCCAATCATCGCTTTTGCATGACGAGCAACAGTATTCTTAAAAATATAAATGTTGGAAACCTCTACATAGTAATTCATCGATGGCTGTCATTTTTCAATAACCTACGTCAACCGTTGTTATAAACTACACAATACACATGACATGTTCTATAGTAGAACGCATGCTTATCAGACACGAGCACCTCGATGCAATGGATATTTTTTCCCAATCCAAAATGCTTAGCCGTCAAAAAGCGATCAACCGAAATGGATACATCACCCACGGACACAAGACCAACCAAATGCCCACCGATCGAAAATACCCCTTATTCGCTTTGCGGAGCAAGCGGGTCACCCTAGCGGGCCCCATTCAACCAGGGGTCCGGGCCCTATCCACACGGGGGCCCGGGCCACGTCCACCTGGGGCTCCGGGCCCCGTCCACCCGGGGCTCCGGGGCCCGTCCACCAGGGGGCCCGGGCCCCATCCATCCGGGGGCCGGGCCCCGTTCTCCCGGGGGCCGGGCCCCATTCACCCGGGGGTCCGGCGTCCACCCGGGCCCGGGGCCCGTTCTACCGGGGGCCCGGACCTATCCACGGGGGTCCCGGGCCCCATCCACCCCGGGGGCCCGGGCCCATTCTCCCAGGGGCCCGGATCAATTCTCCCGGGGGCCCGGGCCCGTTCTCCGGGAGGCCCGGGTCCGTTCTCCAATCTCCCGGGGCCCCGGGCCCGTTCTCCCGGGGGTCCGGGCCCCATCCACCCAGGAGGCCCGGGCCCGTTCTCCCAGGGGCCCGGATCAATTCTCCCGGGGGCCCGGGCCCGTTCTCCGGGAGGCCCGGGTCCGTTCTCCAATCTCCCGGGGCCCGGGGCCCGTTCTCCCGGGGGCCCGGACCCATCAACGGGGGGGGGGGGGGCCATCCACCCAGGAGGCCCGGGTCAATTCTCCCGGGGGCCCGGGCCCGTTCTCCGGGAGGCCCGGGTCCGTTCTCCAATCTCCCGGGGCCCGGGGCCCGTTCTCCCGGGGGCCCAGACCCATCAACGGGGGGCCCGGGCCCCATCCACCCAGGAGGCCCGGGCCCCATCCACCCAGGAGGCCCGGGCCCGTTCTCCCAGGGGCCGGGCCCGTTCTCCCGGGGGCCGGGGCCCCGTCCACCTGGGGCCCCAGGCCGACCCCTCACCCGTGGTGTCCCAGTAGGTATTTCTCGAAGCGGGCTCGTCCGATTAGATTAGGGCCTCTCTCCTCTCTCTCTCTCTCTCTCTCTCTCTCTCTCTCTCTCTCTCTCTCTCTCTCTCTCTCTCTCTCTCTCTCTCTCTCTCTCTCTCTCTCTCTCTCTCTCTCTCTCCTCTCTCTCTCTCTCTCTCTCTCTCTCTCTCTCTCTCTCTCTCTCTCTCTCTCTCTCTCTCTCTCTCTCTCTCTCTCTCTCTCTCTCTCTCTCTCTCTCTCTCTCTCTCTCTCTCGAGCGGGCCCCTGACAGAAATTTCGGGGGGGTCAGCTGACCCTCTGACCCCCCCCTGGCTGCGCCACTGACCTACAGGAACCGACTAGAAGCAGTAATAAGGAACGAAGGATATGCTATCGACTACTGAAGAAAGACACTGAACTCTGAAAACCTAGGGTTGTTACAAAATAACTAGGGAGTTTAAGAATTCATCGAGTCTCGTTTCACAGGAGGGCCGTCAACAATCTTGTCCAATGAAAATCGTGTTCAATTCAGTTTAAAAGAAAAGGAGAACAAAATTTGAACATTCAGCTCAGGAGCATATGTCGTGCCCGGGACAAAGCACGTAACTGTGATAATTTTGGCTGCATTATATCGCCAGCATATGCTTACATGTAGAAAATATAGTTACTGGGGTAGGTGTGATGGATATCCGTCGCTATCCGTGTGCGGGTTATCCCTCACACTTTTAGGGGTGCGGGCCGGATAAAATCGTTCGTTTTTCGCGATTATCTCGCGCTAAAAGTGGCCGATCGTGACGAAACTTTGAGTGTCCTCGGACTTATCTACGTTACTGGTTACACATTCGCTATACAGTTAATGATCCTGAAACCAATGACCTTTGAACTTTGATCTGATTTCTGAGGCCATGGCGGACCGAAATTATTTGTCGTTTATGTTAGCGCACATAAAATTGCGTTTCCAGACTTCTATTGGGATTACATATAAACGTGCCAGCATGTGAACTGATGGTTGTCCCATGCATCGTGATGGGTTTCAAGTTGACTTGTCAGTTGTCTGTCAGGTCAAGGTCATTGACGTTTGGTGACTTCGGGTGACTGTTTCAAATTTTACGATTTTAAGGGATTTTTTTTTTAGCTTATTTCGAATCCAGCATTCGTTGAGACAGTTGAGAAGTACGTATAGTTGTGGTGCCAATGCAACTTGCTACGAAGTTGTCGCTGGTGGTTTAGGTACACCTGCTATAAACAGGTGGTGCGGGTGGGACCCCTACTACTTGACCCAAACTTACCTAACACAGCCTAGCTTAATCCTCGTCCCCCCCCCCTAGTTTTTTCGCGATAGCTCCGAACATGCCAGCAACAGAGAGCTGAAACTAGGCATACCTAACCTTTGATTCAAGCCGGATCTTGTGACACCAACCAGATTTTCAGGTCAGGTCAGGTTACTGACCTATGACGTCATAAGTGGACGGTCCTCAGATGCCGCAACTTCGCAACGCCCTCAGTCCCAGAAGAGCTTTTACGGGGGATGAAACTTACAGTACGTGCATCTTCTAGAAGCCTCACAACTTGTACCTCTAGGATTTTTCCTAAAGATCACATGAGGTCAGGTCGGTCACGTGACCTAACCACTATAAGTCAATGGAGAAAAATGAAAACTGCTATTCTGGCGCCGGGAACGATCTCAAACTACCTCAAGCACACGGATTGTGATTTCAT